TCCCTCGGTTTACTAACCCACCGCGAAGCCTTAGCCCAAAAGCAAGGTGGCAAAGTTATTTTTTTTATTAGTTAAATTAAAAATATAATATATAAAAATGAAGAAATCTAAAAACTCTTTAAAAGAGCAAAGCAAAGCAACTACCAAAAAAGGTTATCAAAAAACTAAGAAAGTAGTTAAGCAAAGTAAAAAAAAAATTGACCAAGCCCGCCAAAGTTCTTTATGACAAAAAACTAAACAGGTGGCAAAAAAGACCGCCCGAATTACTGGTTCCCATTTAGCCACTTTGCGGGCTTCCCTGACCTTGTCTAACAATGAGGCTGAATTAATGGAAGAATTAAAGAATAAATTAAATAAAAAAGGAGTTTATCCCTCTAAAAGTGAAATATTACGAGCCGGATTGTGAAATTTAAGAAATATGAAATCGGAAGAGTTAGAAAATGTTTTAAAAGAGTTAGTTAAAGTAAAAAAGACCAGGATTTTGTAAAATTATGTCAAAAATCGCAGATCGAATTATACCAATACCAGAAAAAGTAAAAATTAATTGAGAGAGGGGAATATTTTCTGCCGAAGGGCCATTAGGCAAGAGTGAAGAATTATCCATTCCTGCTAGTTTAGAAATCATTATTGAAGAAAATAAATTAAGTATCAAATCTACTAATCCTTCTTCTGTTCCATTGGCCGGCACTTTTAATGCTTTAATTTCCAATAACATAAAAGGGGTGGTCAAACCTTATGAAGTAGTCTTAGAAATAAAAGGAGTTGGTTACAAGGTATTATTAAATGGAAATGAATTAGAACTTTTTTTGGGAAAATCTCATACTGATCGGATTAAAATCCCTCAGGAATTAGAAGTAAAGGTAGAAAGTAGTAAAATAATAATTAAGGGAAAAGATAAGCAGAAAGTTACCAGTTTTGCGGCCAATATTCGACGCCTTCGCCTTCCCAGCATTTACAAAAGGAATAAAGGTATTTACTATTTAGGGGAAGCAGAAACTATTAAAGTAAAAGCCGCCAAATCAGCAAGTAAGTAAACCAGAGAATATAAAAAATTAATAATATATGTTGCAAAATGAGTCAATTTTATTAGTGGCTGACAATTCCGGAGCCAAAAAATTGTTAGTAATTCGCTGTTTGGGTGGTTCTAATCGGCGGTATAGTCGGATTGGTGATTTAGTGGTTGCCACCGTAAAAAAAGCCGACCCTCACTCGGAAAATGTAAAAAAAGGGCAGATAGTTTTGGCTTTGATAGTAGCCACTCGGCAGGCTTTTCGTCGTCAAAATAATACTTGAATAAAGTTCAGTAAAAATTACGCGGTGTTGGTAAAAAAAGAAAATAAAGAACCGGTAGGAACCCGGGTTTTTGTGCCTTTATTATCTGAATTTGACCAATGAGGCTATAAAAAATTATTTTCCCAGGCTTCCGAAGTTCTATAAAAAAAAACAAATTAATATGAATAAAGTTTCAAAATGGCTTTTAGAAATTGAAAAAGTCCTTCCAAAGCATTTTAAAAAAATAAGAGAGGAAAAAAGATCAGGCAGTTCATTCTGTATCGGATATGGTTCAGAAAGAGAAAAGTTTATTATTCATTCCAACCGAGAAATTTTTGAATTTACTTACCAAATAATCATTATACTAATAACTTGGAGGAGGGAAACAAAGGAAGATGTTTTTCAATGCCAAAATACTTAGAAAAAAGAACTAATGCAAACAGTGAGGTAGTTTTTCAAAACATCCTCAATATATTAAAAAAAACTTATAAATAAAATATGGTAAAAATTAAATTAAAAACTGGCGACAAAGTAAAAGTTATTACTGGCAAGCACCGGGGGACAATTGATTTTATTTCCCGTCTGGACTCTAAGGAAAAAGTGGTTTATTTAAAAAAAGTTAGTCGCAAAAAATACGATAAATCTACTCCGGACAGTAAGAAAAAAAGTGAGTTAAAAGAAATTATGAC